CCGCCCCCGGCCCAGCCCCGGGCCTCCTGCGCATCCCGCCGGGGTGCTCCCCTTCGGGGGGACCGCGAGAGCTCTGCCTCTTCCCTGCTCGGCGGCAGGAGGGATTCAGCAGTAAAATTCAGCCTGTGGCGCTACATCGTGAATTTCTGGGGTTTCTTAAAACCCTCCCAACAGAAAAGGTCCCGAAGGCCAGTCGTATGAGGTACTGTCCGTGAGACACACGTTCCTGCCGGCAGCGACTGTACTGTCTGAAGTGTCTGGCAGCACCAGGGCTGGGCTCACAAGGTGGAGTTCCCCCCTAAGCATGTAGCGTGTACCCCACCACCCTCACTGGCCGCAGCCCAGCTATCGGGATCCAACAAGTGCTGCCACAGCTGCCCTTCCCACCCGCCACCGTCCACATCTGCTCCATGTGGGATGCCCCCCATGGCAGCAGCCATTGCCTCTCACACCGAGTCTTGGGGTTTTTTAGCAAAAATGAACCCCCCAAACGGAATTATACCTTTTAATCAGAATTAATAACTAGTGACTAGTCAAAGAGAAGTTTGTGAGGTAGTCCTTTGGGAAAAATAAACGGACTGTGGTCATTAATGAGTTATCCATACACACAATATGAAGCCTCTGGGGGAGATAGATCAATAAAGAGAGATATGTAGATAAACAGGGAGATAATCAGGTAGATAGAAACACACAGCTGTGTACGTAACTATGCGTGCATATACATATGTGTACCTCAACATGCTACCTTTTCCTCTTTCCCTGCAAATCTGCATGGGAAATATCCACAAATGACTAAGTTAATGAAGCAGTGATTTTATTTTGCATGCAATGCAATTCCAGCTGTTTTACTGTACTGGGGAAAGAGTTTAATTTTCTTTGAAATTACACCCACAGAGAGATACAGGGAACAGGAGAAACCAAAGCTTTCCTGGAGATCAAATAAAATCCATGAAAAGTCAAATAAGACCCACATGATTCAAGGGGCAGCAAGTCAGCTCCATGCAAATAAAACCTGCACTTGCTATTCTTATTAGCTCTTAAACCAGAATATTTGCAACCCTCATTAATACCCCCACCTCCATCATACTGTGGGTCAGGTCACTGGTATTGCTGAGTGATTTGGGGAACTCTGGCAGTGAGTTCAGCTACTGACCTTGCTGAAACTAGATTGCATGTAAGGTTTCTGTGCTAGTGACAGATATTTAGTGAAAGCCAAAGGTACCTACTGCTAAAAAAGCCAGTTATGGTAACTTTATTTGTGGTGAGGCAGGTTTTGTTTGGTTTGACCACAAAGAAAAAAATTTTCTAAGGGTTGGATGGCCTAGAAGAAGTGTTCACCTCAAAAGCAGTTTGGGTAGTCAAAAAAAAATTAATTTATAGGGGTTAAAAACTATTTACATTAAATTGCTACAGGATCCATAGAAAACACTAAAATCACTGGCAGCTCACTTTAATGCTTTCTGCTCTCCTATGTGAGATTCCAAAATGCAGCTGTAGAAAATATGCCCCTATATTGATTTTAACAAGTAACTTTTCTAAAATTTAGTCAGATGATATGCAGCTACAGCTTACTGCAATGCCACCTGGGCTCTGTTTTGATTCACAGTCATTGCCATTAATTGAGCGGTTTGGAAGGGGGGGCTGCTTTCATTGCTGAAAATTTGTACCTGAGCTTTATGGAAACAAATACCTACTGCTTGCCCTAAGCACATGTAAGCCAAGATAGATGAATGCTAGCCTTCTGCAGGCCCTTTGGCATTTGCTATGTCCCCTGCCTCCTTCTCCCCTGCAGCATCCTGAGGAAGGGAAGCAAAGAGAGGGGCTGATCCTTCAAACACACCAATCTGGTGAGTACACATCAAACTGAGCAGCTGGCAGCAAGGAGCTTGCATGTTGTGACTGTAGTTCATCCACAGGGAACTCTGCATTTCAAAAGCACAAATTGTTTTTATCTTCCTGTGTGAACCCAGTGAGATCTCAGTTTCTACACTGTGCTTCCTAAATGGGACAGAATTCTTCAGCACTTTGCCTGACTGTCAGTATAATCTTGGTTACTAGTGTCATCCCTGTAGTACCAGGGACATTTGTGGTACCAATGAGAACAAGAAGGCGATTTCTTTGAATGAGGCCCTAACCCTGTAAACATTTAAGCACAGAAGTAGCTTTATTCTGAGGAGTCATTCAACAGATGCAGAACTTTTCATCTGATTCAAATTGCTTATATGGTATTGGTGAGACTAATCTCCTAGGAAGATCAAATGAAAACTAGAGCCAAGTATCATTGAAAATGGTTGATGTTTGGGGAAGGTGAGAATTGGAAAAGATGTGAGATGACTTTACCAATACATGATGTATGATATCATATGTACTTTGCTAAACTGATTTTTCTGTTTTGAGCTCCAGTGGGGCTTTTGCAAGTGGATCTTGACTGGAAGATGCCATGGGGAACCTCTGAGAGAAAAATCAACCAGACCACAGAATAAAGACAGTCACCTAAAATCCAAGTGAAAGATTCATATAAATAATGTGTAAATAAAGCTGCTGTGATGGCTATGGGACATAGATATCTGGTTACAAAATCAAAACTCCAGTGGTTTAAGGGATGGCAGCTTTCTCATCCAGCCTTTAGGCTGTGATCTCTACCCAGCCTTTGTGTCATCCTTCAGACTTGTAGAGTATCTAGCATAATTCAGGTTGCACCAGAGACTAGCTGTGCTGAACGACAGGGATCTAGTGAGAGAAGCCAAGTATGTTAATGTATTTCAGTGAATACAGGGTGGGATCTTCTCCGTCTCCAGAGACAGTGTGAATGTTGGAAACTTCCTGAGATCTAAATCCAGTTTGCAACGGCTTCTAAAGATACTCTACTCTCTGTCTCAGCATTGTCACCCACCTCGAATAATAGGAGAACCATTAAGACTTTTTAAATCTGCCTTTCTTCAAAAATGTGCCTCTGCCTTGGCCAGACAACAGCAAAGAAACGTGGGGTTAGAAGGAGCTGGATGAAAGTTCAGCTGTCCTGCCACACTGAGCAGATCTCAATGCAGCATGAGACCAGACCTGGGGAGTTGAGGAAGAACTGGTGGCTGACAGACAGAATGCATCACTCCGTGCTTCATCAGATTGACTCCCAGCTCACACAACATCTCCCACAGCCCCTGGGAGAGCAGCTTCCCTTCTGAAATCAGTGTGTTCCCAGTCCCATGCTCATCTTCCTCCTTCCCTGCAGCCTCTTTCTGCCGCAGCCGCACGCAGGGGAAGCTGCGTGTCCATGAGCGGCCCCTGGGCACGGTCTGAGCAATGGGAGGGGGCAGCGAGCCTTGCCCAGGCCAAACAGGGCCGGCGAGCCTTTGTTTGTGCCTCTGCTCCTCTGTTCGCCAACAGCTCATTAAAAACAAGGCACAAAGAAGCAGCAGAGGAACCGGACAAGCCCCCTCCGGTCTCCTCCCCGACCTGTCACGACTCCCCCTGGCTGTGTCAGGGCTTCCCGGGCAGCCCTGCCGAGGAGTCCGACTGCAGGCCGGGGCAGCAGCAGCCCAGCGGCCCTTGGCTTAATTCTTCAAATAACAACCTGGAGAGAGATAAGGGCTGGCCCTGGCAACACCGATTATGTGCTTTCCTGCTCCTGTGGCTCACCAAGTTTGCAAGGGGTCAGCATCCCAGGCAGAATCCATCTGGAATGCGGCAGCCAGCAGCCTCCCGGTCACACCTCTGTGCCGCAGCCACGGCTGCAAGCACCTCAGCATCTAATGCAGGAGTGGATGCTCTGTCTTCATGGCAGACTGCACCACTGCAGCAGCCTGCAGCCCTGGCCCCAGTGTGGCTCTCATCAGGCATGCATCCCAGCACACTGATAAACTTTGAGGAGGCAGACGTGGAAGTATATGCAAGATGCCGCTACAAGAAAATGAGATGGCGTTCATGTAAATGGCATGCAAGGTCAGAAATACATTTACCACAATATATACTTTGTGTGTAGACCCCACAAAACGTGTTGGTTTTCAAGGGGCATTGCAAAGGACAAAATTTAACCTTCCAGCAAGAACGGAAATAATGATTGTCTCAGGTGAAAACAGATGTGGAAGTAGGAATGAGATGGCCTAAACCCACTAACTTTCAGAGTTGCTTAAACGTAGAGGTTTGAGTGTTTCTATTTTCAGAGTATGCCAAAAACATGGATACCTTAGCTGGAGTCTAGGGATATGTGCTTTGTATTTGGCTTTGTCCATCTATAAACAGGAGGTGTGAATTTGTTGTGCATGGAGATCCCCAAAGCAGCTTTATTCTAGCTTAGCTGGATGCTGATGGTAACAAAACTGGAGGAACAAGTCCATTGCTGTCAAACCCCAGGCTAGTCTAAAGTGCCTTGGATATGTCTCTCCACTCCTAGGCATGTAATTATGGTTCGAGGCACGTAGAGTTTTAGGGACACACCTTTGAAAAACTCATTTTATTTCCTTGTTTATTTACTTGCCCCTATTGTGTCTTAAAACACTGCATAATTACTCCTGCCAGGACAACAGGGTCCTACACACCCTTCATTCAAGGAGTTATTCCTTTTTTTTACCCTATCTAGTTGTTTTTTCCCACCAAACTCTTTTCAAGGCAAAGGCTTTCTGGAGAAGGGAAAAATGCCTTTGTTGTTTATGTGGCTGAAGTCTATGGATTCTCTGTTGCTTGCAGCAGGAAGCAGCTCTGAAGCATTGCTTTCTGAGCAGGAAGCAGAGGGTGTCTGGGGCCTCTGGTCATTTTGGCTAATGGATGGGCAACTGGTGACAGGGACAAGCTACAGATTCTTACACAGAAGTGGCATGCAATACTTTTTTCCTTGTTGTTTTTTTGTTTGTTTGTTTGTTTTTTTTACATTCTTTTTTTTTCCCCTTGACTTTTCTTTTTCCTTTTTCAGGCTCAAAGTTGAAAGTCTCTGAAAAAAGTCTCAAAGCCTAGGTTGAAAAAAACTGCTGGAGAAGAACAAAATCCTTTTTTCTGTTAATTGCCTGGTGCAGCATGTTTTCACTGCATCCCCTCCTGTGAAGAGATTTGCATTCACAAAAATATCCTCACCTCCATGCTGCAGGAATGGAAAGCAGCATCCTTAGGCACTTTGTAAAAATGGCTGTGTTTTTTATGTGAATTCCCTTAATATTCACTGAAGGAAAACAAGGGATCAAAACAAGTATCACACTACTTACAGAGAAGGTCCTGGAGCAAAGACCTGGATTCTGGACCATGTGCCTGCAAATATGGAAGGAGCTTGTTTGCTGTTTGATGAACAGCATCATCAGGAAACCTGAAATGGCCACCTGTTATGGAATGGTGTCTGAGGCTTTCTAGTGACCCAAAGCCAGGCTTCCTACAGCTGAATTTCCGTGGTAGTAGAAGTCTAACTTTGGGAAAGAGTCTGCCACAGATAAATGTTTTTGTTTTTCATGAAATAAAGAAAAATTATGAATGTATCTGACAGGGAGCCAGACAATCCAGCCAACATATTCTTACAAGTCACCATTGCATTAGGGGTAGAAGAAATGCACCCCAGCTCCTGGGGTGTTTATGTGTCCCATACAAAAGGAAAAATCTGAAGGGCTTTGTGTTGTTTGTAGCACTTTTCTGCTATGGAAGTGCCTCAGTGTCTGCTAGGAGTTTTGTCATGTTGCAGCCTTTCATTGGTGTCACTCTAATCAGATGTCTCTCCTACACCTTACCACTCCTTAAATGAAATAAATATGTACCTAATATCTTAGAGACATTTAACCACTGTCATGTTTGCTTGACACTTGGCAGAAGAGTTAAAAGAATTATGAATTGAGTAGATAGAAAAAGTAAACAGACAGACAAAAAATGTGATTAGTAAGTCCTATTTCCCCAAAGAGCCAGCCTAAAATTTACTGGTCACAACAACTGGAAAAAACTGCCAGCACTTCATAGGACAGCATTAAGAGTTTAAACTGGAGGAAACTCAAAGGAGAGCAAAAAGCTGTCAGGAATTGCAGAAACTCAGCCACAAGGAAAGGCTGACAGATCTTTCAATCTTGAGACTGTTCAATCTTGAAGAAGAGGAGACCAGACAGAAAGGCATGATAACAACCTTCCAGTGGGGACAGGCTGGAGGTCCCTGATCAATTATCCTTATAGTCACCAAAGGTAAAAGAGGAAATAATCAGTCTAATTTTCTGGACAGGAGATTTATCTCAGGCAATGGGGTACATTTTCTGATTTTCAGGGCAGTTAAGCACTGAATAAGATTGTCTGGAGAGTCTGGGACTGACGTCAATTGACGTATTTCAGATCAGATCTCTCAGATCTTTGTAAGGGATGAAATTTAATTCTAATTTACAATAGAAGTTGGTATTATAGAGTCTTCTCAGTTTTATTCAAGTCACGTGTATTCATAATTAACAGGCATGCAATTTGTGATTTCCCATTCTTTAATAAAACAGCCCAAATTATGTACTTCTTTATTGGGTCAGGTGTAATATTTAATCCTGCCTACAACAACATTTCAGCATTCCTTTTCAGATGGAAGAGCTAATCTGATCAGTTTGAGTTGATACCTCTTCTATACCTTTTTCTTGGAAGGTATCTTGAAGTGACTGGATTTCCTGTAATTTTTTGTGTGTTCACACACAAAAACACAACTGAAAAAAATCCAAAACTACCCAACCTCCAAACCATTAATCACATTGCTCTTCTTCCAGGTCAGAGCTCCTGGGAGGTGCCTGAGGGCAAAAATTGGTGAGGACTTCTGAAATGTGTCAACAGTTGCCAAAGTTCAAGCAGAGTTTTATAGTGATGGCTCAAAATTACATCAAACGACTTTCCCAAATCAGAGCCAATGGCACAGAACATCTCTTGTGCCGTTGGCTTGGATGATGTGACATCCCTTTCCCAACTAATGCTTGCTAGTAGACTTAAACTGCATTTAGGAAAGCCTCCAAATTAGTTCCCTCCAGGTGATTATCTTTTTTCCCAAATATTTTCACAGCCAGGATAAGTAAATAGTAACTGTATTATGGGACATAATGTAAGGACTGTGGAACACAAAGAACTTTGAGATCCACAAAAGTCACAGCAAGGGCTCCTACAGATATACGAGGCATCTCCATCACTCTGCCATTCTTCTGAAGACTTTTTGTAGCACACCTGGATCTAACAGTCCCTCTGAAGAACAATTTTTATCTCAACAGTGAGGAACCCTTGTTTTTGCAGTCAAAATTTACTTGCACAGCAGATATCTTAAATGTGATTAAACCCGTTAAAGTTGTAATACAGGAGTAGATTTTTAACACCTGTGTCTCAAAAGCTGTTTCTTACAAAGTGTAGAAGTTCATCACAGCTAATTGTGTCTTTTCATGTTAGTATTTTTCTTTGTTTTACTTCATTCCCATTTTCATGGGATAATGGCCATCATTTGTTCCAAAGAAAAGAACTGTTCCACTAAGGGCAAGTTCACCTTCAGGTTTCCCTTCCAGGACACGAATCAGTCAGGTTTGAAAAGGTACAGGGAAAATAGCAGTTTCTTTGCTGATCAGAGTACTCTCTTTACAGGGGTACAAATTATGTTTCAACAGTCTGGGGAAGCAGACTACCTCAATTCTCACAATCACATTCTTTACCCCAAAGCCAGAAACCCTAACCCAAAGCTCTTTTTTCTATGTATTTTACCTTTGTGAACAAGTTGATTGATTACACTATTTTTAATCATCTGACTATCTTCTCACATCTCTCATCCAAGAAGAAAAATCATAGCAAATATTGTACCACTTCCTCATTGTTTTCTGCTGTGGCCATAGCAAAATGAATCCTCTGAACATTTAGTAGCTGATGTGTGGCAATGTGGGACCAGAAGAAAAGCATCAACAGGAAAGGAAAGGAAGTGACCGGGCACTGACTGTATTCTTCACTGGGTTTCTGTCACCAAAGGTTGTCACCAACCAAAGGTTAAAAAATACATTCCACATTGTTTTCTGGAGGGGGACGCCCAAACAAGCCATGCACAAAATTCATAGAATAATCATTAAGGACAAAAGGAAGTATTAGGACATGTAGTGTGACCTTTGAAAACCACAGGCTGCAAAAGGAGCCCACTGGGACGCAATGCTTCATTTTTGAAGTACAAATTCTACTAGAAGAGGAGAGGAATATTTACTAGAAGCTTGAGCCTGGCTGAAGTTAGAGCCAGACAATTAATAGCAGATGAATGGCTCAGAGCCTGCACATTATTCAGGAGGATTTTAGGATCACATATAATAGCAACTTTAGCACTGTGTTGAGATTATTCTAAAAAGAAAAACTGTATAATCATGTATTTGAGGGCTATAACATACACATTTATATTTATACACATATATATCTGTAGTCTTTGAGAGGTCAGGAATATTTCTGGAATTCTACTAGTATAACATTTATTAACTACACAGTAAACATAGCTGATAAGCATTTTGAAATTATTTAATTTCACTGAATTGCTGATTCAGTGCTTGTAATACATTACCATTCCGACCCTTTCAGTTGTGGGAGTCACCAAGGTGACCCTTCCTTGTAATACTCATAGTAAGCAACGTGGACACTTTTTTCCTCCTGCCCAGACTCAGAAGTAGCTGATTAAGACTAACAATGCCAAGGAAACAATAAGGAAAGCACAGAACCTTGGGAGGGGCTGGAGGGTTCCCTCGAGAACCATCCTGCAGCTGAGGGAGCAGTCAGGGAAAGAGCCCAGCTGTGTTCCTTTCCACAGCCAGCATCACATTTTCCAGGCAAGCCCTGGATACAGAACACCACAGACTGGGAAAACTGATCTACTGAGACTGCATGGTGGAGACTTCCAGGCCGTCCTCTGGGACGGCATTGCTTTCTCTGCAGACGTTATAATTCAGTGGTAGCATTTTCAGCTGAGACCAGCAGTGAAGTGCTGGGCAATGAAGAGGTGAGATGGGAATTGTGAGTCCAAGAACGACATGGTGCAAACTACACAGGTGCAGATGTAGATAGGGATGCCAAATCTCCAGGCTTAAATTGGTAGGAAGGACTTTCTATTAGCATTAGAAATGAGTGGTGAAAGCAACCATTTAGGTGAAAAGGGTGAGAACCTTATGAAAGTGACATGGACCTCAGATTATCTGATTTTGGACCTTTGTCCATAAAATGCCACAGGATGCGAGTCAGCAGGAATTCCCCATAAGCCTGAAACTAGACCTTAATTGCAGGATATGCTATGCCAACACTGAGGTGTTGGCACCACACACGACACACCTCCTTATTCTTTGACATCTGCAAACTGTCATGTGCCAAGAAAAAGGCAACCGAGCAGTTCAAGGAAGGAAGACATTGAGATCAGGGTCACTGAGACTGCCAAGAAGACTTCTTTTATTTCAGAATTAGAAATACAGGAATATTTCATTTATAAAAGGTGAGACTCTAAATATAAAATCATCATTTCTAAAGTTTTAAAAATGATAGATTTTTTAACCCCAAAAATATAGCAACAGGTGTCAGCGAAGAACAAATCTAATGTCCAGAGATGCATGAACAGTCACTATATAGAATAAGCCTCTGTCTCTTCATTCCTTTCCCTCTGCCTGATTTATAATGTTATTTACTCTATTCACACAGCTTAACCGTGAATTTTCTATCCTCTTGTTATCATTTCAGTCACTAGATTTTTTGTGTGAAACCTGTGAAAATATTTTGATTGAACTGGTGCAAAAATATTTCAGGCAAATCCAAGGTATGGATGTCAAAACATGCCAGGAGAATAACACAACTACTGGTATCTAATAACATTATCCAGTTATTAAAGGAACCAAGTGGGAAAACATAGGTATATGTTTTCTAGCTAGTTGGAAAAAAGAAAAATAAAAAGATCCTGATTAAAAGTTATTAAATGACTTTGAATATTGCCTCCCTTCCTTAATCCATGTGGCCTACAAAGCATGGCCCCAGCTGGGCAGGAGAGCACACATAAGTAGGCAGCTTTACCATGCTCAACTGGTGCAGCCAGCGAAAGTCACTTTCCGCAGCCTCCAGCCTTCCTCTTGGATATGCGTGTCATCAGGAAAACTAAGTCCAGGCTCCCTACTTTCTCTTCCGCCCCTTTAGCTCCACATGTTTCCTGACCCTTGGCTTCTCTGCTACGAGGGCTTGCCACCTGCATGCCGGCTCTGCTAGCACATGCACATCCTGTACCTTCCCCTGGCCAGGGGTCATTACTTTCATCGGCCCATAGGATAGCTGTGTGCTGGGAATGTATTTGGGTTTAAACTACCCTTGTGAATGAAAACAAGCCAGTGTTTCCATTGCAGGGTGCAGCAGGGAGAGCTGAGAGGTAAAAAAGGAACCAAAGACTGTGTAGCATCAGGCTGGTTGCTTCTTTGGGTATGATGATGAATGCCACATGGGGATGGGGACCTGGGCCTTTGCTAATTGGCTTACAGAGGTTACAGAGTGTGTGAAAAAGGTGAGTGCTGTTTCTCCAAATATGTCTGTCCTCCTCTCCCAAGGAAGACACTGCGATGAGTGACAGGGCAAAGAAGTAATTTGCACTTTCTCCTATATTTCCCATCCCATTTCTGTTGCCATAATGTGTCCCGCCCATTTTTTTCCTCTGGTGATTTTCCCAGAATAAGAATCTCTTCACATGAGATGCTGTTTCTGAGGAAACAAGAGAATAGCCACATCTGGAGGGTGAGCAGGAGACATCATCAAGGACATAATTTAATAGAGATAAAAAACAATCCTAAAATGTCAGTGGCAGGAGGAGAAACATGTCTGTCTCCATATGTTCAGGCATGGAAGAAAAAAAGTCTCATTCCAGTTAGAGTTCAGCATGGAGTTTTTCTTACCTCTATTGATCCAGCTCCCCAGATGGCTGCTATTCTGGTGCTACAGGCAATGAAATTACTGCCCACTTGCAGTTATCAGGTTGTATCATTGAAGGACAGTGACTAAGCAGTGGAAACAGGTCCTCCCACAGGAGTCCCCAGTGTGATGTTGTCCAAGAGGACAAGGCAGGCTGAGGAGTAGCACAACACTCTCTGGCTGTGGGGTGGCTTTGGAAAGCCATGGAACCCCTGAACATGCTAATGAGGGCTGCAACAAAATCCAGAGTGTTAATGTGTTACTATGTCCAAACGTACTTCAGGTGCCAAATGCCAAAGTGCCTTGGATTTATTCATTGCAAATCGTAGAAAAATGAAAGGCCAGTGCCTTTCTAAAAGAAACCACAGTGTTTCCAAAGGAAGTCCAGTTCTGACCTCCTGTGCACTGATGCAGACTGGAAAACTCTGCATGAACATCCTTCACTGGTCAATGTAAGATATCTGGAACGCCACTTAAAACTAATTCGCCCTGAGAGTGCCAAAAGACTGAGAAAAAAATTTGGCAACATTTCTGATAGGATTATTCAACTTAATAATCCTTTTGACAGAAACCCAATTTCAGTAACCCTTAATTTCTCTGAAGTTGGTAATGACTTCTGCTCAGTGTGATGAAAGAAGAAACGCCAAGTAGTTCTTCATCTGAAATATGACCTTCTAATTGCAGTGTAAAGAGTCCTCACACAGGTCCATAACTACCATCAATGAGTAAAAAATAATTTTACCCATGAGCTGATATCAGATCTATGTTCTTAAAAACAATGGTTAGTGTTCCATGTGAGAAAGAACCTACACTAAGAATAACACCAACTTTCATTCATCAGGAAGTGTTTGCACAGCCTATAGAAATCAGTTGGTTTTATAAAAAACACACAACTGCAAAAGTTATATGCTCTTTGGAATTCAATTGGTTTGAATAAATAGTAAGGCTATTGCCATCAGTAAAGTTAATCTAGATTTCTTCAGTATGAACAGGTTAGACTTAATTCTTAATGGTTGGATATTACCAATTATCTACCTGAAGTCATTACTTTTAAAACTGTAATAGAGAGAAAGATATAATCCTCTACTGTGAGTGTGGTGGGGCTTTTTATGGAGTGGGAACAGAGACATCATTTTCTTCAAACTGAACATCAACACATAGTGATAGACAATGAAGTTCCAATACAGGTAAAAACTTGTGTCAAATTTTTGAGGTGATATCTGGGGACAGCCTTAACCTGGAAGAGATTTACTTTGGGAGATGACACAACAGCAAAGCAGGCTCTCCACACTATATCCATCACACTGAAGGGTCTGTACATTGTCCTATTCCAGAGGTGAAAGAAACTGCCTCTTATCTTTGGATCAACTTTAGTAATAGCTGTATAGCACTTTGGAATTGCAGCCCTTATACCCTGGAGGACTTGTAATGGTCTGGATAAGGAGGAACTTCCATTTGATGTCAAACACCAGGAAAGGCTCTGCAAAATGAATTCTTATGAAGGGTGGAAGTGTCTGGGTTTGGTATGTTTAGTGGTAGAAAATGCTCTAGTTGTGAGAGAGGACGTTATAGGGGGAAAAAAACACAGTATCTGAAGAGACAATCTGCTGAACATGTAAGTGAAAAAAGTGTCTCAAGAGCTCTTACCTAATTGATAAAGGTCTTATAGGCACAGAAATGTTTCCTTCTATGAAATACTTCTCAAAATGACCATTATCAATCCAGAGGCCACAGTAAATATTTAGATTTTTCTTAGGTTTTGTTTGAGCCTGACAGTATTAATCCAGTGTTAGCAACTACAGTTTTGAGTTACCATTAACAAG